CCCTCCCCTTCTAGATTATTATTACTCCAGTAGAATAAACCGATTGCTAACAGTATGCACTATATGTGGAAGTATTCTTTTATCAAATCATTACAGTCTTCCCAGTCCAATTGTCCATTTAGGAATCATCAAAACACAAAATAGCTATCAATAAAACTGTACTGTCCATAGTACTAGAATAAAGTAACTGATAATATTTCACACTGAAATGTTCTGGTTACATACTGAAAATAATAACCGATTCACAACATGTGGCCATTTACACTCTGGCCAAAATCAAACACTGTCCTACTAATAACCAGTGGCATAATCCGCAAGGTGGACAGGTGGACGACGAATACGTGATGGTCGCGGAGAACCGGCTATTGGACTACCGTTTACGATTGGACTCAGTCGACGAGGTGTTTCATGATTAACAGCATCATCAATCACGTCATCACCTACATCGATTACATCATCAAGATGGACCATGTCGTCATCACCCTTCACAGTTACTGTTCCGCGTTCCCGCGGTTGATCAGCAAAGTACTTTTTCAGGTGCGCCACATTGCGTCGATAGCGTGCTCCTTCAGGCGACTCCACTATAATCTCACTACCACACCGTCCAACTACTGTGTATGGCTCGTGCTCAAATCGCGTTGAGAGTTTGTTGCATGGATACCTCCTTTGCATCAACACTCTTTCCTCAGGTTCAATGTCAGTCTTTTGCGTGCCGCGATGGCTGTCTGCATACTCCTTCCCTTTCTGTTTGCGATTAGCATCTCTCTCTCTCACGTCACTGTCGCGAGAAGTCGCGTCCTCCTCGCTCACGCCTAGGCGTATGACATCTGGTAACTTGGTACGTATTTTCCTGCCAAACAGCAGCTCGGCTGGGCTTACCCCTGTTGTCGTGTGTGGAGTCGACCTATACGCGGTTAGAAACTTGTTCAGTTCCAACTTCCAGTCTCGGTTTTGAGCCTGTGCGATTTTCATAGATTTAAGCAATGTCCTGTTTTGCCTCTCGACCTCGCTGCTAGCCTGCGGCCACAACGGCGTTGACCTCCTATGTTCTATGTCGTTCTTCATGTATGACTCGAATTTGTCTGAAACGAACTGAGGTCCGTTATCAGTCTTTACTGATGATGCCAAGCCGTGAGTAGTGAACATGTTATCCATTGACGCAATCACTTTCTCTGACGTCACAGACTTTAGCACGTCGATTTCGAAATAACGGCTGTAATAATCGACGACTACCAGCAGATATTCCCCCATTGGCATTGGACCAAGCAGATCTGCTGCTAGATCCTGCCAGGGTCCTGTTGGCAACTCCGTTCTCTTAAGCGGTTCTGGCGGAGAAGGCGTCCCTACCAATTGACACTCGTGACACATTCTACACACGTGTTCTGCCGCACGATCAATACCAGGCCACCACACCTTGGTTCGTAGTCTCTGTTTAGTCTTAACAATGCCCTGGTGGCCCTCATGTGCCAACTGTACAGTTCTCTTCCTCAGTGAGGTTGGTATTACTAATTTAGTACCTCTCAAAATAAGCTGTCCCAGCGTCGCTAGTTCATAACGTACTACACCTGTGTAACCCGATGGACAGCTTTGCCAGTCACCTGTCTGGACACACTCTCTCAAGTCGCGAATTCTGCGATCATTCGCAGATTTCTCGTTCGATCTCTTCGACCGGTATTGCTTGTGGTGCTGCGTTCAACGCCACAAATCGGATGTATTCATCTTCGACGTTCACCACGTTTTGACGAATTGTCGTCGTCAGACGCGACAAAACATCTGCCGATGTTTCTGGAGCCAGGTATCCAGGTCGCGACATACTTGTACGGTTGCAGTCTCAGGCCACCACGTTCAATGCGTGCTGGGGTTTCTACGCTTTTGGAGTAAATCACCTTCCAACGGTTTGTGATCCGTCAACATCTCGAATTCAATACCATATAGATATGCGTGGAAACGCTCGCATGCCCCCACCAATGCGAGAGCCTCCTCCGTTTGGGAGTATCTGCGCTCTACATCAGTCAGGCTCCTGCTGGCGTAGCTCACTACACGTGTAACAGTGCACGTGCGTAATTAGTGTTAAAAGTTGTTTATTTAGAAATTACCTGCGCGCACATGTTATACACATAGGTGGTCGCGCCTACACGCGTTAGTCAGCTGGCTAGCTGCCCAAGGTCGAGCAAGGCGCGTGTGCGCCTTAGACTATGTATGTTTAAATCATCGCGGGCGTAGAAGTGGGTGACACGCGTTTATATGTCAGCCGATAAAGCTACCTGTGTCCACTTCCATTGAAACATGTATGAAAGGCTTGGCCTTGGACCGAAGTCAGCTGATGCGCGGATACGTGCATTTAGTATATACATATCACACGCTTTAATTAGTTTGCGCGTGTGATAATGATATTGTGTTGATATTAATTACTACATAGGATGTTGTATACATGCATCTATATATATGATAGATGTGTAGACAAGGAAGTATAATACATTGAACTTACATGGCCTGCGTAGCTGCGTATAAATGCACGTGCCTACGTGTAATGCATGTGATTGCGTAGGCCCATGTATTTAACTTAGACGTGTAATTTTGATAGGTGTATGATGGTCATTACTGCATATGATGCGTATATAGGCGTGCGTGGATATGTGAATGCGCGTGGATGTATATATGTATATATATCTATATATATATATACACCTATCTGTGCACATCTGTCGCATCTAAATAGCTGTATATTCCGTGCTAATGAGTAGACATAATTAACATAGTGTGTGGGTGACGCCAACGTCAAGTATAGGCATATATAATTAGCATAGTATGCGGTATAGAATGTAACATAAATAAATAGATACGTGTAAGTCTCCTATGCTACAACATGGGTCCTATGCTACAACGTGTGGCCTTCCGCCCCTTCCTGTTTACTAGCTAGAGAGGATGTAAAGATGGTAGATTAACGCCAGAACGGATGTCAGGCGGATGTCAGGAAACATCGTAATCTTGGCGTGGCGATTCTACCAGTCCTGGTAGAATGGCCGTTTTTAACCCAAAGGTTTGCAGTGGGATAGACGACAGCGGCCCCTAGTAGCCAGGACCGTAGCTAGCTAGTAGCTAGTAGTAGTAGGTAGGTAGTAGTAGGATGTAATTAGGTGACAGTTTAGACATAATAATAATAAAGCCATTATAGGCACCGTAACCGGTGGTGCCTCCTAGGATGACGTCACGGGCAGGCGTCCATTATAAGGGCGCGCGCGTTCAAGGAGTTAGAATCTTTCCTGTTGTGCTAAAGTACGTGTGTTACTGCGAGTCGCGTCAAGACTACGCGACGTGTAGTTTTAGTGTGTAGAATCTACTGAGTCTGCTTTCTTTTACCGTGTGTAAGCGCAGATATTTGTGCGCATATGTAATGAGGGCTATATTTTATATGCGAATACAGCATTTATTATGTGAATAATTAATGAGGCATTTTTATGTGTGAACCAGCCTCGAGCATATGTTTATATATGTGTGAAGTAAACTCTTAGTACGTCAACACCACTTCAACTCTTCAGAGTTTGTTCCTATACGTGACTATTCCTCAAAGTAGCTTTTTAGCTAAGCACGACAAAGAACCTGCGGTTACAAGAAACAAAAACACAGTGCAAGGCTAACCACGAACACTTATAATATACGATCATCTGATCCGAACTAGATTTCATTGGTGCCGTGACCAGGATTCGTGCGGAGGAGAAAGGACAGCATAGCAGCAACAGCTATCTACACATCGCACGTCACCACTCAGCATCACCGTCAACATTAGCGCCAATCGTTATCCAGATGAGACGGGATACTAGAGAAGCGTTGCCGAAAGGAGGTATTGATCTGAAGCGCTAAGCGCAGATCTTGAGTGCAGTTGGAAATTCCTACGACAGTATGCAGTGCTGGCAGCTATGGATCCGTGCGCCGAATATCCACTGGCACGGCCGCACAGATCCATAGCTGCCAGCGAACAGTCCGCAATTTTAGTGGGGGAACAGAGGTAGACATTTTGGCAGCGTGAACATGTGTTCAACATTGTTATATAAAACAATGGCTTGTTCGTAACCGAGCTGTTGTGATCGCAAAAACACAGAGAAAGACTCGAACGATCATTCCGGCGTTCGCGATACCTTGGGCCCGCATAATGGAAAATAGGCTGCACAGGACAAAGGCTAATATAGACTGGGACTGCGCCTCCCACCATCGATTATCCATCGAGTGACTAAGCCTAAGCCGAAGAACACTGTAGCACATATACATGTCAACAAAGCCGCACAAACACATCCAATGCAATACATCGTATTATGTATAGGACTCTAAGGCTTATAGGCAAGTAAAAATAACCTGTAATAAATATAATTGGCAACATTCAGGGTTTCATTCATTTCTATTATTACATGACCATCTATGAAATTAGTGGGTTAATTTACGTCGCCAGTACAGCTTACTAACCTTAGCTATCAGTCTATGGATCAGTATACAGCAACTGCCGTACACTACAACTACTTGCAAGTACAACTTCCCGTCACTATGATAGTAATGTAAATAAGCCGACAAGACTGTACATATCAGTGTATGACTGCAAGTCTGAACTGCAAGATCAAGGCTGCACTGCAAGATCATAGATTCGACATAACACGGCTACCAACCACCGCCCGGTATGTAAACAAATTTGTAAAGCTGCATCTACGCTTGTTACATACATATTTATAGTCGTTAGTCTGCCCATAACAAAATTCGACTTTCATTTTAATTAGATGACCTTCCGATGAAAAGAATTCCAGTTTTTGGCTAGTCATTATTTAACGAATTAAACGACGAACAATAAGAAACTTTTCCATGGTTATAACATAGATGCCATGCTATCAATCCATGTGCATATAGACTGGTACCCGGTCAACAGTTCCACACGCTACACTACGTGAGTACGTGGGTGTTGTACGTGAGTCTAGCCTGCAGGCCGGTTATAAGCGGTTAGCGCCGGCGATCCGTGCTGCACAGGAAACGAGGCTATATGCATATAGACTGGTACCCGGTCGACAGTTCCACACGCTACACTACGTGAGTGTAGCGATATGCCAGAGTAAAGGTGGCGAACTGGTACCAGTTTACTATGCCTAAGCCTCGGCGTTCGTTGCGCCGTCTATCGCACGCCATATGTACTACACTCATCAACAGAAACAAACAAAGAAGAAAGTGCAAATCCGTTTTTTACAGCAAAACGAGCGCGCCGAGTCGCCAAAAAAGTTATACGAGCATTTCAAGCAAATCTCAAGCTACATTGGTAGTGAAATCCGTCGTCCAATCGCCAGAACTGCTCAAGTCAACGATTATACGGCTTTGGCATATACCAGGGCCCCGTTGAAGTAAATTCAGATAGTGCAGCGATGTCGTGAAAGCTTGCCGTTGCGCGGCGTTTGCGCGCTTCGCGCGGTTATCCGGGCTGCAGATCGTCAAGCAAGCGCCAGCCTTCTCGTCAGAGAATGAGTCATTGTCAGAGTCGTCAACGCCATTGTTGTTAGTGTAAACAACAGCGTCTACGGCGAGGGAGCAGCGACACCGGCAGCCCCAACCGTATTTCATCATCAACGCATCGTACGACAGAGGGCATACACTAGACTACTGCAGTATGCAACGTATTGCAATCGTCAACTACGTCGACAACAGCAGCAGCAGCAACAACGACGACAACAGCAGCAGCAACGGCAACAGCAACAGCAGCTGTATCAGCAGCAGCGACAGCAGCAACAGCAACTGTATCAACAACAGCAACAGCAGCTGTATCAGCAGCGGCAGCAACAACAGCAGCAGCATACGCAGCCATACCAACGGCAACGTCGGCAGCATCTACAGCAGCCACAACGACAACAGCAGCACCTGCAGCAGCAACGTCAGCGATTCGTCTTTGACACTAGACCTCGTACCTTGTTGCGCTTTGATCACCTTGCAGCAACAGGTGAACACCATCATCCATCAGCAGCAGTCAGGCGATAACATTACTGCAACAGTACGCAGAACTTGGTTTCTTGGTGCCAGCCATCCACTGCCAGCAGCATCAGCAGCTACAGCGAGCGAGAATCATCACATCTGAGCGAGATGCATGTTACTTTTATGTAAGTACAACACGATGTGCTCAGTCGTATAGTATGGGGTGGGATTATGTGTTTAAGTCTAAGCAATGATAGTAAATGCTAGTGCTAAGGTTTAGTTAATCATTGATAACCCTGTATCTGGTATGGAACCACCGACCAAGTTACCTCATCTTGAACCGATCGCACCGATGTCGCAAATGGATTCTTTGATCAAGGAGGTGCAGGCGTTGGGTGCGCTGAGCACATTTCAGGTGTTTTCAGGCGATGAGAAGTCAGAGGTAACCTTTGAGCAATGGCTAATTAATTTGGAGAGGGTTGGTTTGATAATGGGAGAATCAGATGACGTAAGGAGGGCTCGCTTTGCGTTACGTCTACTGCGTGGAGAGGCAGCTAATTATGCAGCATCTCTACTGACACGGAAACCCACGATGGGATGCGTGGAACTCGGCGTACTACTGCGAGAGAAATACGTAGACAGTACAGCCGTAGCCATCTCACTACAAAAGTTTAAGCGAGACAAGCAAGCTCGTCAGGAGGGGGTAGTGGTCTACACCAAGCGATTGGAAGTGGATGCAAGACGAGCATTCGGAGTCCACGCATGGGATGACGTTCACGTACAGAGTCGTGTCGTCGATCAATTCATCGATGGACTGAGAATGGATGGGATCAAGGAGACACTCATTCGTAATCAACCTTCTACACTGTCAGCAGCTGTGAAGGTGGCAGTGGGCGAAGCAGCCATCGACCAAGAGGTCAGATTGCGCAGCACACGGCATGAAGATGAGGCAATGGAAGTGGACAACGTGGAAGAGACTCCAGCCATAGAGAAGCAAATTCAAGAGATGCGAGGAATAGTGTCGGACATCTTGGCACTGGAAACAACATGCACGATGCCAGCACCGCGTGCGTATAACCAGCAACCGGCACCTAGGAACATAGGTACCGCAGCAAGTCCTCAGCAGCAGCGTGCAACTACAGGGCCGTATAACTTTAGACGGGCACCTGCGCAGTGGTCGCAGCAGCGACCACCGATCCAGTGTTCGATGGGACCTCAGCCCCACGGCCCACGTTCAGCGGACCTGCAGCGTGGCAGGGATCGAGAAACACCTGGTATCCAACGGGTCCACAACAGCGAGACAAGCGTACGCCACCTACCGGCGTACAGTACAAGTGGACCACAGA